TTCCATAAGCCACTCATGTAATTTCAAGAGGAACTGACTCCTTTGGAGGACAAAGATAAATTAACTATGTGACTCTTACTGAAAAGCTAGAAGGTCTTAACTAGCATTAGCAGTGGAAGCAGTGTTACAGTCCATTGTGCATCATTCCCAGCTCTTATTAATGATGGATGTCCTGTTTACTTCACATTTCAGGCTTTATCCAGATTTGAAGATCCCCGCTTTGGAGCGATGCCCCTTGTAAAAATGTTGCGTACAAGTATCGAGGGGGATTACAGTTCTTGGAGTGTGCTGCGTCTTTCTGGCAGCCTTCTTTACTTTATAAGTATGTGCCTAAGAAGCATGTGATGGAATTACCTTTATTTTTGAGTGCAGTGCTTGAGCTAAGATTGTCCTTGCTGCAGCAGACTACTCAGTAAAGCCTCTGATTGAATCCTGGCTCAGGGCAAAAAAGTACCATCACTTAAAGTCTAAGCCCGCATCTACAATATGCGGGCTTTTTCTCTTCTTCCTCCACCCAAAGGCTGCTTCCGCTCCTCTCTCTGGGAGACGTGACAAGATCGCAGGTGGAGGCTGCAAGGCAAAAGTTGTGGCTGTTGTGCTACACTATGTATCAGTATATAGTGCAAGGCAGAAATTAATGCAGAGCTCCGCGGGCGTATGTTGTCTATAGGCCAAAGCGTATGCACGTTGCCATTTAGGTGTGATACTTTGCTCCCTAAAAACGTGAAAAATCTTCGTGGCTTACAGTACTCTACGGAACTGCTTTTGTGATTAGGCTTATTTACTGCTTTGAAGCCTGTTGGTTAAACACTTCTTGACAAACTTTCCCAAGATTTCCACTGGGATCACTTCATATTTGAAGTAGTTTTTGCACCTGAGAGCACGACACTTACAATTTCTTTGGCATTAAGAAAAGCAAGCTAATATTTGTTTCCTTTGTTTTGTGCAAAGAAGCTTATAATAGGACAGAGAGCAAAATCAGAGAATGCAAACAAATTGCTCAAGTCAAAGAAAAAATACCCCGGTGATCATTTAATTACTATTCAAGGCATTTGTACTGTAATACTTGGGAGGCAGTGAAATGCTGCAGTGACGGGACTACCTAGGTACCCTGACAGGTTTATGAACAGAGATGTAAGGTAAGCTATCTCTGGGTCTTTAGTTCCCCATGCCCATCCTCTGCTATGTAAGATAATTAGTAATGCTGCTCCTTATTGTTATTCTTCAAACCAGCGCCAGGCCAGGCAGCAGAGACCTCAGAGAGCATGAGCGCGTTGGCTCTTGCCTAGGTGCAGAGGCAGCATAAGCAGCTTTTCTCCTCTGCTGCCCACGTGGCTGGGAGCTTCGGACTTTGCTTTATCCTGCTGCTCCCTGCGGGCTCCCGCTGTCGAGAGAGGATAAAGGAAGGGTGAGAGGAATCGGTGCGGTATCTATCCTGGGCAGCAGGAGAGCCAGCTGCACGTGGAGACGGAGGTCTCTGCTGGAGGCACGTGTGACCCAGGAGGAGCTGTAGATGGCTGGCCTCAAGATGGTCGTTAGGTCTGTAAGCGAAGAACAGGGCATTTTTCTCTCTTGAGTTCATGCCTGGAGCAGCGTTCTGCAGAGGGGGACCACGTGCTCCCATTTGGGACAGCACCAGGAGAAGGGATCTTGGCAGCGTGGAGGCTGCAGGTGGCACTGGATGCCAGTGCCATCGCTGCAGTGCCTGCAGTGGCAGCCCCAGTGGCTGGCACAGCACAGTGGTGGCAGCCCAGTCCGTTTGGGCTGGTTGACCCCAGCAGTATCCAACTGCAAGCAGGAGACCAGAGCGCAAAGAGTTGCTCCCAGCCTCTTGAGCCTTGCCCCAGCACAGGCCACCACCTGCCAGCACTGGTGCCACTGGCCCTGTTTTTGGTCCCCACCTAAGGACGGCAGTGTTGGGAAGGGGCAGTGAGCAACAGCAAGCCTGCTGTGCTTGTTCAGCAGAGGGAGGACTTTTAGTCTCTACTGCTGTCATCACGCTAAATTTACTTTCTAAAAAACGACCATGACCATGCAATTTTCTAGCTACTAACTCACAAGCTTCACCTGAGAAAGTCCTCATGAGAGGTCGGAAAAGCTGAGTTGCTTCTATTTTCTGTCTTCTACTGAGATTCTCACTATTTTTATACCTGCATTAGGATTTGTAAGTACAGAGGAGGAGCTTTTGTGCAAACTTCCATTGTCTCTATCCCACACGTCTGTTTATCCACTGCTGATTTGCCTGCGCAGCAGATTTCAAAAGGGAAACGCGTACAAACAGAAGGGAGGGGTGGAGGTGGGACCAGGACAATAATAAAGAAAGAAAAAAATGGGCTCATTGTAGTTCTGGAGAAGGAAATTAATGCACGTTTGGAACGTGCAAATCACTGCCGCCTTGCCCAAAAATTAGGGATCAAAAGTCTATGCAAAATTTTGCTTACTGATCAGTTTCTGAGATTCATCAGAATAATGCCAGAAAAGCAATTTCGTCCTCTCAGCCTTAATCTGTTACAGAAACTGTACATATGCCTTGCAGAATTGCTGCTTCTCATTTTATTTTTTGAATTGATTGGTAAGATTATAAATGTTAACTTAAATTTCCACTTGGCAGGTCCATAGCATTCATCATCTGAAGAAATCCTTAGTTTATACAGGGGTGTACTGATCTGTAGGATTAACAGATCATTTTTTTCTAGTTATGGGATGTGGATAGAAAAGCATGCACAATTAAGAAAAAGAGGGAAAACTGGAGCTCTTTTCATTTTCATGGTCTCAATTCTGCCGTGCAAAATTTTTTAATATGCTTCTCTGCTTGACTGTGCTTCTACTTCAGGTGGTTATGAGAGGGATTAATCTCCTAATGGTAATTGTCTGATCCAAGTTTCTGCTTTTCAGAGAGCAGAAAGATTAGACCCTCCAAGGGACAGTTCTTGTCTGAAGGTAGGTGGCAGGAATTGCCTTTTGAGGGCATCTCTTTCTCCAAAATGCCTGGACCAGATGATGTTTCAGTGGCTAATACTAAGTGAGATAAATTGCTCCTTAGGTGACGGCACTCTGTTGTGTCTAATTACTGATGTAGGGTTGGCCCCACAGCAATGGATGCTTGAAAGAAGAGCTGAGAGAGGCTCTTTAGCGTTTGTTCCAATGCCTTGTGGAGGGAGTCTGTGTTGGGCTGAAGGTCATAGCAGCTTTTGGAGTCCAAACGGTTTCTTATCGATAAGATAGGCCCACTGCTCAGCAAGTGAAGGATGATCGTGCTTGGTGACTCGTCTCACTGTTAATCGGATCCAAATGGAGGAGTCTACAAGTTGTCTCAGGGAACCAAGCTACTGAATCAAACAGATCCGTCAGATTTGCTATCCAGCGCTAGCTGGTGCAAGGCAGCCCCCCCGCCTTTTCCTCCGACGAGTCAGATTGCTGCTCTGGCAGACACAGGAACATCTGGAAAACCTGCGACTGGCTGGGAGGGAGCACAGGGCGGTCGGGGGAGAAGTGCCTGTTTCGTCACGCTCTGCTGCAAAACTCCAAACTGCTGAATTGGACAGACAGAGCACAGCAAGTTCGGAAGCTAAAATGTAAATAAGCATCAGTGTAACAGTAACTCAGGAAATTAATGAGTTAGTGAACGCATTCTTAATTGCTAGATAAATAGAGTTTCCTTTGCAGGTATAAAGCAGGCATAATATTTCAGTAGAGTACCGCGGGGTTCCTGCTGCTGTCTGTAAAGCTGGGCTATAACAGCTCCTTCGCGGAGCTGCTGCTGCTTGCCAGATGTGCTCCCCATTGCAGCTAACGGTGTTGTCTGATCTGTGGTTTATCGCAGATGTGAGAGCAAATAGTTCTGCTGCTGAAGACAAAAAAAAAACCCTCCCAGGTGCAATTAAAAAAAAAAAAAAAGCTTTCTTCGAGATCAGTTGTTTAATTCGATGTAATGTGTAAAAGCCATAATTTTCCTGTAGACGCCTGAAACTGCTGAAGCAGGATTTTTTTTTTTTTAAATCACTGACTAAATTAGGAATGGTTAAAAGTACGCACAGTGAATTTCTCGCAGGGTTTAGGTGCCCCCTCGCTCGATGAAGTAAAGCGACTGCTACCTGCACACCGTTGGGGTACCTGGAAGTTGGGTTTGAGCAGGCGTCTGGCAGCGGGGAGCCTTCGGCTCAGCCACCCGTCGCAGAAACGTCTCGTTTGTATGTTAATGTCGAGCGGTGATTTCCAGGGAAGGCGTTCAGTGTGTTGTAAAGGGCCTTACTGGCAGATTGCAGCTAAATTGATGCTCAGCTCACTAAATATTTACCCTACACATCCCACTTAATATGTCCAAAACCAGGCACACTGTGAAATCCTGAAACCTGATTCTGTGCTTGTGAAAGGCAGGAGCTGGTA